GGAGCATCTTTTTGGGAACCAAGTTTAAATTTTTTCCCTCTCACCCAAGTTATAGTAACTTCTGATGGGTAGTGGCAAGCAAAACTTTGTGCACTGTCTTTTGGCTTGCCTGGGAATGTTGGTTTTCCTATTTATCCTTCAAGGCAATCATTCTCAGGATTGAGTTTAGTGAAATCTGATACCACTCACTTCCTTTCAGTTCATGGTAACTCTTTCTATTAAAATTTTCAGGAGAAGCAAAAATATATTTTTCAAAAGAATATAGTTACTAAAATATCTTAACAGATTTTAATAGATTTCTCTATTTCCCATACCACTCACAAGATTAAATAGTTTTTCCACAGGAGACATAAATATAAGTCATGGGATTCCATTGTAGTAATTAAGATTTATACCAGATATAAAAGAACAGATCTTAATGGCTGTGATCTATGTTAGTTATTGAAGACTTATTGAGGACTACTCTACTTTTATTTTTCCAGAGTAGGCACAAGAGAGTGCTCTCCAATGTTCTTTCCAATTTTGATTCCATAATTATGTTATATTACATGATTTACTGAAAACAGTTCTTTAGAGACAATATAAAAGTAAAATGTTTTGCATATGATAGGCTTCTTCAGCTAGTTGGTAGAAGGGTGGGCTTAATAAAAGGAAACAGAAGAAATGGGGCTGTAATAATAATTCTTATCATAATGACTATTACTTAGTAAATGCCCACAGGGAGTGTATGTTACACACAACAGAGACATGGGGCTGCCCCACTGTGCAAAGATACTATTAAAAAAAAAGAACTTGAAAGAAGTAGCACTTTATGTTAAGACACTTATTTAGGGTCTCAAAGTGTACTTTACATGGGCTGAGCCAAATAAGAGATCATCAGTATCCTTGCCATTCATGAGTTAAAAGAGAAACTAGATGGTTTGTAGACAAAAAGCCTATTACTATACAGTGATTGGACACAATGTATAAATGAATGCAAGTACTTTCAGTGTGATACTAAATTGGAAACCAGGATATTTAAGGTTCCCATTAGAGGAACAGGAATTCTCAAAGGAATGAGACTGATAATATAAAAACTGGTTGATGCTCAGATTTCAATCAATAAATGGACTTTTTATGGGCATAAATTTAATTCTAGCAGTACATAAAAATATTTTGGTTGTTTTGTGTGGTGGAACACTGAATTGAATATTAGTAAGATCTAGGATTTGATTTTTGATACCTGTATAACTTTGAAGAAGTCACTCATCTCTGGGCTAACAGTTCTCATCTAGAAAATCTGGGGGCTGAGTAGGATGCTTTCTTTCAGATCTAACATCTATGATTCTGTGGCTATATTACAAATGACCACAAATATTATCACACATTTTCTAGCCTTTTAAAAAGTCATACACTTATTTCCTAAAAGCTGGACTGGTCTTCAAATAGATCACTTCTAATTCCACAGTAAACCTCATATCCTTTCAACAATATGAGAGACACAAATTATAGGGTGAATTCAAAGATACTCATCACTAATGCTAACTCAGAGTTTGTTAAGAAAATTAATCTCAAATTTCCCCAAGATTTTTCTAAAGAAGGCAAACTATAAGAGTCTGCTTAGAGAACCCCAAAACAGCTTTGCAAAGATAATTCTATAAAAGTATCATGATCTTTACTGAGTTATATTTTAAGAAATGAAAAAAGAATTCTAGAAAGGGGACTGTACAACATTCCAATTGGATAGTATAGTTTCTTCTTTCGGATCAGGTCCAAAGCTTCAGCAGAAATTTTCCAAATCCTCTGCTAAATGTTTCTTCCCCTTGTCCACCCATAAAGACTTCTCACCTTAGAGTTCTGATGTAAGACATAAAAAAACAACTCAGTGGTTTCTCACTATTCTCTTTGATGCAGAAAGTACCTGAAGGAGATGGAAAAGCTTAAGAAACCCCTATGCAATATGTCTACTTCCATACAGATTCTATGGGTCACATGCTAGATTTCACTGTCAACCTCAACCATCTGTAGGCCCATGCCAAAAGAAGAATTCAAGTATTAAAACAAGGGTAGATGACTACAGTGAAAACCAAAATGTTGTCTTTACACATCCTGTTAGAGTACTACCCAGAAGTGTGAGAAATGGCATCCAACTGACATATTTAGTATTCAAAACTTATTACCCAATGGTAAAAGAGGAAGGCTCAGGGCAACAGCACACTTACTAAGCTTCCAGGGAGTACAGAACTCCGAAAATGTAAGAAATCAAGGTGGTAGGGCGCCTGGGTGGCTCAGTCGTTAAGCGTCTGCCTTCGGCTCGGGTCATGATCCCAGGATTCTGGGATCGAGTCCCACATCGGGCTCCCTGCTCGGCGGGAAGCCTGCTTCTCCCTCCCCCACTCCCCGTGCTTATGTTCCCTCTCTCACTGTGTCTCTCTCTGTCAAATAAATAAAAAAAAAAAAAAAAAAGAAATCAAGGTGGTATATTTTGCACCATTTCATGCACAATGCAACAAAAAAATCTATGGAAACAGTAATTTTGCTGGCAAGGAAAAGAAAATTCATTCCTATCACTCCAGTAACATTTTTGTTATTAAGTGGCTCATTACAGGCACAAAAAGGGTAAGGAAGTGGGGGTCACCAATTGAAATAACATGCAGCATGTTAAAACACATAATAAATGCATCAAAGAATCATCTTTAGTTAAAAACAGGAGAGAACCTCCACTCTTCTCCTTGCCTCCCCACTTCATGATCTGCTCTGTCCCGGAGGAGGAGGCTGGAATAGGTAAACCAGGAGAATGGGCCTATAGGTGAGGCTGTAGCGAAGAGGATGAAATTCCAGGCATGCAGGCATGCAGACTCCCCAAAGAAGAGGCCTGCAGTAACTGAGCCTGAGCCAAGTCATGGCTACTCATCTCTAGGAACCAAGTGACTAAGGGATGGAGAAAACAGATTGAAATTTAGGAAGATTATCTTCCCTGAAGCTATTTCTTCACTTACTTGCTAATGTTTTTTTAAAAATTTACAATTTGAGATAAAGTAAATAAAATGAAAAAGAATTAAAGTCATGTAGTTAAGTAGAGAGAGTATATCCTTTATAAAAACAATGGGAAACGACTGATAGCAGCTCCTTCCAGATTTCAATGGGAGATAGGTGAAGGGAGCTAGAAGGGCCTAAGAGCTGGATTGGCAAAAGAGGGTCAGGGCTGTGAGCAGGACTGTTTCTAGGGGTATGTCGGAGGGTGAAGAAGGGCAAGGCCAGGAAGAAACTGACTTTGCAGAGGTAGTGACTAATGACTATTTAGTGTCAGCTAAACAAAGCTGAAGAGATCAGTAGGAAGAATGAACGGCTGGTTAGCATCAACTCTGTTAACTCTCAACTGGGAAAGGACCAATGAGATGTTTGAATCAAGGTATTTATGAGAAGGTCAGTTAGAAAGGCAACTTCAGACAAATTAAATTCAAAAGACACAGGTAACATAAGATAACTTTATCTCAGACATTTTTACTTTGATATTTCACTACATTTAGGAAATCATCAACAAGTACTAATCTGTTTAACTACAGGAACAGATAATTAGAAAATTGATTAATATCCAATTTATAGGTTAAAAGAATGTACATCTCCTCATTTTCATACAATATTAAAAAAATGCTTTCTTAAAATAATATCCCTCCCCACCGGATAAAACTGCTAGTGAACTGCTCTTTATCCTTGTCAGGGTAGTCACTCTTAACCAGAAAGCACAATGGAAGTATACCTATTTATCTGAACCGTCTGTTATTATATATTATATATATTTGGGGGCCTGAATGAGCCCATGCCATCTTGACTGTTTTAAGTAAGCAATTACGCAGCCCTGTCTTGGTATTTGGTCTTGAAGAAAAGTAAAAATTGATTCTTTAAGAAATACTACAGAGGCCAAAGATCTCACCAGAGGAGGTTTTACTAGATGACAGGTTAAATTTTCAGGATAAACTCAGAGATATTTAAAGGTAAGGGAATTTGAATGTTCATTTATAAGATTGGAGATAATGCCAAGCCCTTGGGTCATTAGATAGGTGTTCGTGAAAACTGAACTGATTGCCTTAACTGTGGCTGGCTGACATCCAGCATAATATATATTTTGAAAAGAATAGCTTAACATGTTGGGGTGCCTGGGTGGCTCAGTCGTTAAGTGTCTGCCTTTGGCTCAGGTTATGATCCCAGGGTCCTGGCATCAAGCCCCGCATCGGGCTCCCTGCTCCGCGGGAAGCCTGCTTCTCCCTCTCCCATTCTCCCTGTTTGTGTTCCCTCTCTCGCTGTGTCTCTCTCTGTCAAATAAATAAATAAAAATCTTAAAGAAAAAAAAAGAATAGTTTAACATGTTTTGTTTTTGGAGTGAATTTTTCCAGTGGCCTTTATAACAATATTTTCTTTCATATAAGGTTATCTAATTATTGGTTCCTCTCCCCCTCCTTGCATTTTCTCACAGGAACCATCCCCCTACGCCACCCCACCCTCACCTTCTGCTGTCTGGGACAGGAGTTTATTTTCCTGGGTGTTCAAGAAAAAACTTTATACAAGTTGTGGCTATAAAGTGATCAGACTGATCCTAAAAGAGGTGTCTGAAACTCCAGCTGAGTCTTTGAGCCTCTCCTCAAATGAAAAGAGTTGAGGTCTTGTATAAAGGAAGGGCATGCTGGGGGATGAGACACGTTTACATAGGCCAACTGAAGCTACATGTTTCTGGAGGTATGAGTTCTTTCAATGTTTAAATCTTTGCAACAGTGATGAGCAAAATAAAATGAAAACCTAGACTATGAAAAAAATTAATACTATTAGATTAAAACAAACCCAGGAAGAATGTTTATTGGTTGTAAATAAACGACTTAAACCTGAGATTAGTTGATGGATATGTTAGGTTCAAGCACAAGCTGGTAATTTCCTAGCTCCATATATTTTAGATGAAGGTTCTTGTAAATATTGCATCATTAGGATACTCTTAATTCAATTCAGGCTATATTTATGGATATGCTTACATTAAGATAAAAGCCTTGTGCCCATCCATTTCACACTGTAAACTATAATTTCCATTTCACTTCCTGTGCAGTAACTACCAGAGTACTGCACTTAGCACGCATCCTGTTGACACAGAAGAAATATTTCTTTTCAAAATTTGTTTAAAGGAAACAGAAAACTGTATAGAAAGGGGGCCTATTTTTCCACAAAATGAAAACTAGGGGAAGACCAAGTTAGAGAATATAATATATTCTTCTCATCCTCTCTAGGTACCTCAGTATTGTTGAGCTCAAGGAAAAAGTACTGCCCCCCACCCTAGCACCCTACTCCCCTCCCACCTCCCCATGAAAAACCAGAAGTGTTCCACTCAGGGCTTCAGTCTATTGACAAGGGTTTTCTTGGGCCTGTGAAAAAATGAAAGGTTTATCATGGAAAAAACAAACAAACAAACAAACAACAACAAGAAACCTGTTTTCTAAAAAGGGAAGAAATTTTGTGGCGGATAGGACTCAAAACCTGGACCTGGTTGTAAGGACTGTCTCCTCTCATACCTCCACACCAGGAAGACAAGTCAAAGTTTGTGGACCTCGGTGACTTTGCAGAAGAAATCCCTGGGCTAGATACAAAGTTCCAAACCACTTGAGTACTCTGGTTTTTCTACCTTTTTGCCTTTCTGGTATGTATCAAAAATTCCATCTTTCTTCCCACTCACTCCCAATCCTATTTACTCCATGTGACTTTGGGCAAGTAATTTTACATCTGAAAATACTTTCTCATCTCTAAAATAAAAATAAGGTAATCAAGAATCTCTATACCTCTAGTATAATAGGATTCTATCCCAGACTGTCTTAACCTTAATACCTAAAATGACTGTGCAACATTTTAGCTTCTGTTCAATTTCTTCCAAAAAATTGTCTAACGTTGACAAAGTTCCCTTAGCTCTCCCTCCCACCCCCTTTATTATTTTTAAATTTGAAAAAATTTTTAATTTTTAAAGTAATGTCTACCCCCAACATGAGGCTTGAATTCATGACCCCAAGATCAAGAGTCACATGATTGGGGCACCTGGGTAGCTCATTTAAATGTCTGCCTTTGGCTCAAGTCATGATGCCAGGGTCCTGGGATAGATCCAGGCCCTTGAAAGGTTCCCTGCTCAGTGAGGAGCCTGCTTCTCCCTCTCCCTCTGGCCCCCCCAACCCCGCCCTGCCTGCTCACACATGTGCGCGTGTGTGTGTGCGCTCGCTCTCTCTCAAATAAATAAATATGTTAAAAAGTAAAAGTTGCATGATCTACCAAATGAGCCAGCCAGGCACCCTCCCAACACCTTTAAAATCAAATCACTATAGTGCTCAAAATCTACAATTGCTCCTTTTGCAATACATCGTTAATTCCAAAAAAATTTTCAAAATCATTTTTAATTTGTTCCTTTGCTGCATAACACCCTTTTCCCAACTATAGCATATTACATCCATCTTCTACATGATTTCCTCTTTGCAAGGTCATTTTCAGTCTCCTTATTCAACTAAATCCCTCTTCCCCACAACTCACCAAATTACTCTGGCCTTTCACTTACCCACTGTCCTTGGAAGTTCCTCAGCATGAGATCAATGGTACCAGCCTCTTTAGTAGTCTACTTTGTACTGTCATGTAATTGTTGCATGTTTATTCTTCTCTCCAAACAGTGGAGGCTTTCAGTCAACAAAAATTTTATCTTAAAAATCTGTATGCTCCCCCAATATCTTTAGACAACATCAAGCATTTGCAAAACTTATCTGAACATTGTATTTTTTCCCTAATGTAAGCCAAACCTCTATCAACAGCAGTTAGAGTAAGCATTTTGTTTTTTGATTCATTCAAGTGGTTACTTTTTTTTAATGGAAGCATGTTATATTGTGACAAATATTCCAAGTATTTTGTTATGAGGCACTCTTATTTATGAATTAAGCTATAATCTGATTCTAAATGTTATAAAAATGCTAATTTTAATATCATTATTTATAATATATATTATGTATATATATTATAAAAATATAATATGAAAATATTTAAAATATAACAGTATTAGTCACTCATTGCAAGTGTTGTAGATTTTGGAGTTATTCCCACACTCCCAGTTATTACACAACTGTGTAAGTCATGGTTATTCTGAACTTTACCTCATTCCCAGCCTTCTACAGTTGCATAGGATGGTTGAGACCTTCATACAGCAAATCAAGGTCAAACTAAGATATGGTCTGATGCTCTCTAGGGAGATGTTCTGAAGAGAGATGAAGAACAATGGAGATGGTGAGCCTTAGTCACTCAGAATATTGAATGTGACTTGAAAAAACCTACACCTCAGGGTAGTGCTTTCCCTGGGAACCTAATGAACTCATCCCACCACCTTGTGGAAGTGGCTGATAAAATTCTAGGGCAGCAGGTTTACGTGGTAAGTTCTTTAATTAGGTAACTCTTTTTTTCTTAAAATTTGCTGAGTACGTGACTAAAAGAGTGATTATCTTCTGGTTAGTACCCTGTAAAGATCTATAGCATTCTGGAGAAAGCTCAAAGACAGCCAGCTATGCACCAAAGAACAGACCGATGGCTACCAATTATCACAGTTATTTAGCACAAGTATAAACTACATTATCTTGTAGGAAAAAGTTATTTAATAGGAGCAACAAGTAGAGGATGCAAGCCTACAAGTAAAGCATTTGTATGTCTAGATAAAAACGACAGTGAAAGGATCATGGTCAAAATATCAGTGACCTTGGAAATAGGAAAGATTCCTCATGAATCCTCCTTTTGGTAACCTGAAATCATTTGAGCAATACTTCCTAACACATAGCACATATCAGGCACTGTGCTAAGCTCCTTATAGGTGTTAATTTTTACAGTAACTCTAAGACAGGCACTGTTAAATGTCCTTATTTCACAAATCAAAAAAATGATGTTAGACAAGCTACAGAAAGCAACTGACGTTTGGGAAGTGGTAGAACCAGGATTTACATTTGGAACTCCCAGACTCAAGTGTTTTATTAGCAATCAAAGTACACGCTTTGACTACATTAGTAGTACACTTATATTGTTTTTGCTCATTATTCACTATGGATGTTTTAAAACGTGAGGGTTACATGCTGTCTGATAGGGCAAACTGACTTCTAATTGATGGCTACTCAAAAACATCTTTTAGAAATTGCTGTGATTAGACACTGAGTAATTTGTTTAGATTTGTGTATTTGACTGATTTGTTCTGAAAACCACAGGAAATCTATTAAGAATAAGAACTATGTTTATTTGCCTTCAAAGTTCCTTAAGTAGCAGCATGTTTTTTATGTAGTAGGTACCAAAAGTAGACTCATCAACTCAGTAAAATTGAGGATGAAGTCATATAGTTTTATTCCCAGTTTACCTTTGACATTCCAAATATGTATTATAAGATACATATTCTGTGGTTCTATTAAGCTGTCTCCAATACCATTTTATGCTATTAAAATGCTTTAAAGTAGATTTATTTAGTAAATGCTTTAAAGACACATCTAAAATTCAAAGCTAGGTAAACACTTCCCAAATTAGTATAAGTTTATTTTCAGGGGAATTGAATTAGATATTTTCTTGCATCTCCATTATTAAAGGTAATGTATTAGATGATAGGTCTTGCAAACAGTAGAATGAATTTACAAAGGTGAGAGGGAATCTGCGGTCTTTATCATTCTTGGAAATAAATCTGTTTTTTTTTTGGTAGATCATCATCACAGATGCAAGTAATTTTAGGACATTCTGTCTGGTGACCATGGAGTGACTGCCATCTAGTGGCCATTTTCCACCATAGGCGATGCCCCTTTTGGCCCATTGGGCAATGCCGAGGGGTCGAATTCATCATCAGGTACATACACTTTGGCACCCATCTTCACATCTCACTGGATTACACAGTCTTTGAGGGAGGAACCATGTCTTACATATTTTCTTTCTTTCCTGTACTAAAGTATTTGTTACTATCGAAGTGAAAACATGTTCTGGACCCACCCAGCTAAGAGAATTAAGAGATAAGTTTTCATTCCTCATTAATTCTACCTCCTCACACCCCTAACTCTTCTACTTCTGCTCAGGCCTGCATAAAAACTGGCAAATGTGGAAACTGTGGTGAGACCATAGCAACTTTCTGTTCCCATGACCGCATTACCAATTTAAAAAGCAGAAAATAAAATTATGCATTAGTGGCTGACCCTTAATACTGGAAACTAAAAAAACAGATGACAGTAGATTCTTTCAATGGTTAAATAGAATGCAACCAAATCATTAGAAAAGCAGAAAGATAAACATTACAATTATCATTCTAATAGCTACACTTTAAGGAATGTTTATGAAGTGCTGGGCGTTGTTCTAAGTGCTTTCTGTGCATTAACTTATGTAGTCCTCAAAACAACCCTACAATGTAGTTAGAACAAAAAGCAAAAAAAAGTGGTATTTTTTTTTAAATACCCAAATATTTCTAAAAAAGATTATTTTGAAAAACAGATTTTAGCGGATTCACCAGTCACCTAAAATACTTGAGAGAATTAGATTGCTTTAGCAGAATACTATAATTATTCTTTGGAAGACATGTACCAAATGAGTCAAATTAACAGATGAAAGAGAGTTTATTTATCTATTTATATATCTGTCTTGGTCTAGAAAAGACTAGGGGTGGCTTAAAAAGGGATTATAGTAACTTTTTGGAAAATGTTCAAGATCTTAAATATATTACTCTCCCCAAAAATTGGCTGCTTCCAAGCTTGATTTAATATTTTGCATGTTCTCTCTCCGTTGTTTCGTAAATATATTTGCTTCTCCTTTTTGCAATCGACGTCTGACAGCTGATTTTTGGTGTTTTGTCAACTGACGTTTCACCTTCTGCTTCACCATTTCCTGGAAAGATTTCATGAATCAGTATTACTGATAATTGACCATTTTGATAAGGAGTAAATATTCAATAAAACAAAGATTTACATTGCTAATATTTTTTCAAATTTGTTAAGAGCATGAATTTCTTAAATTAAAAACACTGACAGTACTATGTGAACCAGCAATAAAATAAACACCAAACTAATGGTTACAAAATAGGAGAAAATAAATTCCTAACAGAAATACAGATTTTATAGCAAAAAGTACTACACAATTCTTTGAATAACAAATCGCCATAGTGCCACCTAGTGTCCATCAGGAAAACTGAAAACAAAAACCCCAAACCAAAAAACCCAAGATAAAAACTGCTTGTTGCTCTGCTTTCGAGATAAAAGTAGACATGGCTTTGTAGTAGAAAATTATGTTTAAAAGCATTCACAACTGGTCAAAATGTATCCAAGAGTGAGGCGCCTAGGTGGCTCAGCCGGTTAAGCATCTGCCTTCGGCTCAGGTCATGATCTTAGGGTCTTTGCATCGAGCCCCACATGGGGTTGCCTGCTCATCAGGGAGCCTGCTCCTCCCTCCCACTGTGCTCTCACTCACTATCTTTCTCTCTCTCAAATAAATAAATAAAATCTTTACAAAAAAATGTATCCAAGAGTGCCTTCATAACTTCAGGTGTAGAGATGATCTGATGGCAGCAGTTACATGGAAAAGTCTTTATACAATTTCTGGGAGATGTAGAATGCTTTCTCAGTATAAATTCAAATTATTCTTATTAAGAGCCAGGCTGCCAATGTCACTTACAAGATGAATAAAAAGTTTGAATATTCTGTTCCTAATAACCTTTTCTTCATCTGAAGCACTACAGCCTGATATTTAATTGTATATAACCTTGTATCATCCAACTTATTTCCTAAAAACAAGGTAAACACTGCAAAGGTTGAACCAAGGGTCTCTTTTTTTTTCAAGATTTCATTTATTTGACAGAGACACAGCGAGAGAGGGAACACAAGCAGGGGGAGTGGGAGAGGGAGAAGCAGGCTGCCTGCCGAGCAGGGAGCCCGATGTGGGGCTCGATCCCAGGACCCTGGGATCATGACCTGAGCCGAAGGCAGATGCCTAACGACTGAGCCACCCAGGTGCCCCGAACCAAGGGTCTCTTGTTAATATGCCCCACCCTATGCTGGGCACAAAGAAGCATTTATTAAAAACCTGTCAAGTTAAAAAATTAAAGAATAACGGATCTGAGGTAAAAAGGGGCTAGAAGAATTAGTCTGCCTAATACACTGTTTCTTGGGTTGTATATGTGTACTATAAAACTTTGGTCCAGGTAAGTTAAATGGAGACTTTGCATCATTTAACACAGTTAAGGAAACTACATTCAATTAACAGGTTTTAAAAAGTTTTCCTTCTTAATTTTAGTCTTAATGATTCTCAATGGGAAAAAAGGTAAGAGAACAGAGAGTGGAAACAGATGGAAGAATCAGAATTCAAGTCCCTGCAGAGGCTGATACCCCATGAGATGTAGTCACCCAAACCCAGTAAAGGCAGGAGACTTAGAAGGAACTGGTATCCCAGAAGTTTCAGAACTGAAAGCTCTAGGATTGGCTGAAAGTTTAGAATAAATGTAATTGGCCCCCAGGACTCTTCCCTACCCCAGGAAGACCAGCAAAACCATCATAGCCTCCTCACCCCAACGGGAGACCAAAATTCTGAACTAGAAAAGCACATCTTCTTAACTACAACAAAGACAAAAGAGCAATACTTTCAGAATTCTGAAGGAAAATTATTTCCAAACCACAACTCGAACACTTAAACTCCCAATCAAGTGTGAGAACAGGTTAAGACATTTTTAGAAATAAATAAGTACCGACCCTCCCATTCACTCATATAATTACTGGAATCTGTATGGCCAAGTAAAGACGTAAACTAGGTAAGAGAAAGAGATGGAACTAGGAAAGAAGGCAACAATAAACAGGAGAGGAAAAGTCCCAGGAAGACAACAGTAGAACGTGCACCACAGAGGCCTCTAGAATGCTGCCAAGAAAAAAATTAATTATTTTCTAAATGTTCTGCTTGATAATCATACCAAGAAGCTGGAGAAAATAAGGAGACAACAGATTACTATGCATACACCTCCTCCTAATCCAGAACAATTTATGAATCCTACAAGGTTAATTTTTTCATGTTAAAATAAGAGGGAGAAAAATCTCGTTTAGTATATATTTCTTAAAATGATGAAACACGAAATAAAATACTTGTGATTATTACAGTACATAAAAAAATTAACAAAAATCATGCATTTTGTTGATTCCATTGTTGTTGTTGTTGACATGTACATTTATTAAAAAGCAATATACCTTAAGTTTAATTAGAATTTGTTACATTTTACATATTAGGAAGAACAGGGTTGGTAAGTGGCAACTTTGCTAATAGAGAACTATAAAAGCATTTACATGAAGAAAACAGATCTTACAATTACAGTTCCAAAGAACACAGAGAAAATCTTTTACCAGACAGTAAAACAATAATCAAATTAACAGAGGTTAACAAAATAAACTGTTTTCTCCTAACCTTTTAACAAAATAATGTGACCTCAAGGAAAACAGTGTGACCAAATTTCCAAAAGAATGTAGAATTAAGATGATCAATTTGTTTCCAATGATTACAGGGAAACCTTTTTGATCAAGCGAGGGGTAAGAGATCTTTTTTTCTCTTTAGAAGGCAAATTTGTATTTTTTTTTTATTTTATTTATTTTTTATTTATTTTTTAAAGATTTTATTTATTTATTTGAGAGAAAGAATGAGAAAGAGAGAGCACATGAGAGGGGGGAGAGTCAGAGGGAGAAGCAGACTCCCTGCTGAGCAGGGAGCCCGATGCGGGACTCGATCCTGGGACTCCAGGATCATGATCTGAGCCGAAGGCAGTCACCCAACCAACTGAGCCACCCAGGTGCCCGCAAATTTGTATTTTATAATGCAGTTCATTATAGGTTTGACCCCATTTTAAACTTTAAGTTCCTGTTAGCTATAAAGGAAATGGGATAAAGTCAAGAGCTAAAGACAATGTCAGTGTCATCATCTTTATATACAGAAGACAGCATAACTTAGAATTTAAGGAAGTAGCATTAATTAGTAATCTAAACTTTATATTCAAGTGCCGATTTTACACCACTGTAATTACATAAAAGCACTTACGTTTTGAATCTAAGAAGTAAAAAAAAAAAAAAAAAGGTAAATAAAACTCATTAAGTATAGAAAATATAAAAGCCAAGGGTGGACAGGCAATTAAAGAGCAGGAGAAATTCTTTTTTATTTTTTTAGATTTATTTATTTATTTGAGAGAAAGACAGAGAGAGGGGAGGGGCAGAGGGAGTGGGAGAGTCTTAAGCATGAGACTGAGCAAGAGCCTGACACGGGGCCTGGGGCTTGATCACAGGACTCTGAGATCAAGACCTGAGCCAAAAACAAGGGTCAGACACTCAACTGACTGCACCACCTAGGCACCCCTAAAAAGTGTGAGAAATTCTTAATAAAAACAGGTTGATAATACTTAAAGGGAGACTTTTATCTTTTAATATAATTATTAGATGTTTCAAAAATCCCATAGATTTAAATTTTACATCCAGAAAATCAGATAAATTATAAGGCCAACAGTAAAAAGTATAAAAAAAAATTTATACATTTACAGAATTTCACACTTTTATTTTGGTCTGACAAACTCTAAATATTTCTATTGTCAAGTAAAGTTCCTAGAACCATTAAAAGTGTGCTATATTATAAAATACAGTATGTTATTTTTAGCTTGTCTTTGATAATTCTGATTTAATTTTGTAAACATCCCATATTATATCCATAGAACATATATTTAAGCTTACTGACAATACATATGAACTTGGAAATCAGAAGTTCAGTAAAAACAAAGTTCTTTTCTTTAGTTTGAATTCACATTCCACATAATTTTATTTCCTCCTTTCTAACTTCTAAATTGATTTTCTTTTGTTCATTTTAAGTGAAGTTACCACTAAAAACTGGTTTCAATGGTATTTAACTTAATGCCTTTAAGCAGAAGGAAAACACCCAATACACCAATGATGTAATTTTATCCCTTTCCTTAAAAATTTACAAAGGAAATAAACTGATTATTTCTATTGGGTACTCTGCAGAGAAGGATGGCAGGCAGTAAAGCTCCTCAGGAGCTGCCTTATTTGTGTTCACTATCCTGCACAGAAAATGTTCCTTAAGAAATTCTTTTGAACATTGCTGCTACATGTCTAACAAAAACTTAAGATACCCAAAATTTTTAAATCACCTATTTTTCTCCCTCAAAATTAAAGAACTAGCTAGTGAAACTGGTACACCTTTGCACTTCAGCTGCAGTGCTGTCACTGGGTAACCTTGAGCAAAGTCACATAACCTATCTGGGCCTCAATTTCTTCATTGTTAAACGTCAGGGACTAGACCATATATGAGCGTCTATAATCTGTCCATGGTAATGACCTAATCAACATTTGGAAAATGCTGAATAGTTACCGGAGGAATTGTTGAACAGCTTAAAACACTGCCCGCAGAAGTAACACTCAGAGTTCTTGTTCTGTACTGTTTAATATCTTCTGTATTTTCTTCATCTCTAAAGGTAAAAGAAAATCACAAATTATCCAGTTAATTTTAGTTAATTATGTGTGATTAATTTATATTATTCCTACATGATAGTAAAACTTAAAAAACATAACATACAGGCCGGAAAGATCATTATATTTAAAATTTCTGTGAAGGCAAAACTACGCACAATTCAGCCCAATATATTAACACTTTTCATTTTACAGCATTCGAATAATCACTATCAAAATTGCAAAATGGTAGAATGTTTCAGCCACCAAATTTGTTATCACATCCCCACAATTCATATCTTTCCCACTAATCCTCTCCTTTTCTTTCACTGAACTTTACACGTCTGCCTCTTACGATATAAATCCTTGGAACACTTCCCTGCCATCTCCCAAACAACAACAGATGCAAGAGAGAGTACTCTTACTCTATACAATCTGCTCTGCGAAGGCAGAAAAAATGATGGAAACTAATTTGTTTTACACATTGCTCAAAGTTTTAATGTATACAAGGTATGAGAAACTCAGACCATATTAACCCTTAACAGTCAATATTTTTCATCAAAATGTTATCATTGTTTCTACTCTGAATAATAAAAATTTTGCCCAACATGTGTTCAAAGAGAACAAATCATTCCATGCTAAAACTATTTAGCCTATGTATATTTTCTTCTATTACTTACTGAAACTCCTCAGCCACTGCCACCCTTGATTTTAATTTAACTTTATGAGCTTATTATTTGAGTGGTAATAGCCCTGAGACTCCAGATATGGTTATACAAAAAAGGCACAACATTTCTGTGTTTTGCTTCATAATAAAACTCTAAAGATTAAGACAGTCCTAGGATATAAGCCTGAACATGTACTGAGGAATGCCTAATAAATGTACTATTGATTTAATTTTGTCATATTACTATTTTGAATAAAACTCCATTAAACTATAATTGATTCTGGCTAAACTATCCCAAATCTAAAAATTAAATTTTTTATATCTTTTGCTAATATTAATATTTGCAAGAAAGAAACTCTTACAAGAAAAATAACATAGTAACATTACATAGAGGGTTCAAAGTACCAGAGAAAATTCACTATAAATAGATATTTTACGAAGAAAGCACATTTACTGCATGTTTATTGGACTACGTATAAATCAAACATACATTAGATGTAAAATTACAAAAATATATGAACATTCATCCATCTACAACTTGGTCAATTTATCAAGATCAATTTATCAATTATTTGAAATAATTCTTTTAAAGTAACTGGTTTGCATTTTTAAGGCAGAACTGCTTAAAACTAACACAATGGTTTGTAAAGGGTAATGTGAATTTTAACAACAAAAGGTTATTTGCTTTCATTTTTTACACATAATGGGGCAGAATATAGCTCTGTTATATCATTTGGGAAAAAACAAACACACTCATTTACCAGACTTGAAGAAAGTATAGGTCTCCACATTAAAGTAAAAAAATCAATCAATAGACATCTATACCTGAAAGGCCTGATTTCTTTGTTTAACGACGACAAGGCAATCAGATGAGGGCATGCATCTTCATACTCTTCAGAGCCCATGGGGATTCCTCCTTGACCTGCTTTACCATCTTGCCTGGTGTCATTTTCAGTTTTGTTTTTCTCCTCAGAACACTCAGTTACAGAACTGTTGTCAACATCCTGCCCTTCTATTTCTTCTAAAGCTCGAATGAATTCAGGTATTTCAAAATTGTGTGCATCAGCACTCTCCTCTGACAAATCATCTTCCTTTATTTGCTCAAGATCTCCAGATGATATGCAACAGCAGTCAGCTGTTTCATCTGTAGAGTTTCGATCACTCTGATTTTCTAAACTACAAACCTTTGCTTTCTCTGACATCTCTTCATCAGAATGTGAGAATTCAGACCTGTCTTCTGTTTCAATATTTTTATCATCTGGACCTACTGGATGAAACAGTTCACCATCTGCCTCCATTTCCTTTGTGTAGCCACTGGCAGAAACCTCTACATCAAGAGAGTCCTCCCTCCTAGGAAAAAAGAATGATAAACAAATACTTACCTGACATGGGTAAGTATTTATTATTCTGATAAATTATAATCCTCAAATGAGTTTGGTAGTTTATATATTTTAAAGATTTTTCTTTGCCTAAAATCTAATAGTTAAGTATAAAATGTAAAAGATATAGGCTTGCTGTCACTTAAGAATAAAGTGACCATGAAAAGCAACAAATCCTAGTAAAAGGTTAAACTTCAGCTGATATTGATTTAATAAATTCACTTTCAAAGGGGGCTAAAGATTTCTTCTTTTAAGTTATGTCAATCATCCCAAATCAGAAAACAGTATCTTAACTAAGTATATAAAATAAATGGGAAATTTTTGCTTTGAGGATTTATATTTAATTACGTTCCATGAATCAATTAAACATAGCTTCTCTTATGAACGAAGGAAAACATAAATTCCAATGAACACTTGACTTGCTTCCTTAAAAATGGGTTATTCACATATTAAACTGCACTTTGCAGTAAAAGTTTGTGAATTTATAAGAAACTATGTATGTTCCTCCCCTAAATTCAGTAACATTGCCTTAACAGACCAAAGGCAGGAATTTTCTAGTTTTTAAGTTTCATTTATACATTAGACAGCAATGATACTCAACAATGATTTAATGTGCTGAAGGTCACTATTTGGAAATTTTTAAGATGAAACTAACTGTTAAAACTCTTAGAATTAAATAAATCAGGTTATTTAAACAGTTTTATCATTTTAAACAAAGCAGAGTACAAACCTGATATCACTAAAAGTTGGATAAAGCTCACTTTCATAGCCGAAACGTTTCATGAAGAAATCTCTAATGCATTTAACATCTCTGTCAAAATACCTGTAAAAGCAAGAATCATTTTTGATATAGCCTGTGTTGCTTACATTTTTCCTTCTTAGTCAATGACAATATCCTTATTAATGACACTCCTAATCACTGTATGAAAAAGGATGTTACTCATAAGAAAAAAATACAAGAAACAAATCAGTTGCCAGTGTGTCTGAAAAACTAAAACTAAAAGCAGAGAAACTAAGAGGAAATATAAGCTGTGAAAGGCATAGTCCCTATAGTTAGAAAACTTGAGGTCTTCCCATACTGTAACAGACATACTAAGGGAAGATAAGATGTATATGAATCTCAGAAAAGAAGACTGGATTTGCGGTGTGGGGCAGGTTTCCACTTTTCCTCTTTTGTTTCCAGTCTGGCTGGTTATACTCATCAGCTATACCCACTAGAACCCAGTCAACGGCAAAAGCTAAAGATAAAATAGGTTAGTGATGCCTAAGAAAAAGTTTGGGGACTATTAAATGATGTTATTATCCATTAGTTAATTTGCAAGAACAGCCAAAAGAGATAAACAATGCTGTGGCTTATAAATAATGATCTGAAGACATGTTAATCTGGACCAGGGTAGAAGGACCTGTGAATATCAGGTTGCTTTTTCGGCCACCATAAAGCAGTGAGAACAGATTAAATTCTCTAGGTTTCTAGACAAAGGAGAATTAAGAAACAGGGTGATGTGGAATTGACTACCTGCTTGAATATTAATATTTTAGAGAAATATAAAGTCTGGAAACAAAGATAATGCCACTCTTCTTTCCTTTTAGGGCACCCTGGGAAAAACCTCAATAAATTATTTTAAAATTATCTTTTTACATATGTCTATGTTTCATCTAACTAGATAAAAATCTCAAAATCTTCAAAAGCAGAGATAGGTCTTATTTGTAATTATTAATTTATATCTTAATTTCTGGTGCTTAGCACAACTCCTTTACCCCAGTACCTGCCCATTAAATATCAAGTTAAATCACACTGTTTCCCTACAGAATAATGCAGCCTACACTTCAAATGTCATGATTTGTCATCGTTTCCTTCTCTAACTCTGGTGGTTCCCGGATGTTCCTTCATTGTGTGACTATGTTACCTCATATAATAAAAATGGTGATTAGTTACCATCCAAAGATATATTAACCACCCAAGCACCTAATAATCTATTAATAATTGTTTGGTTGGAAATATTCTTAAATACATTTAACGGACATTTCTTTTTCTAGAGTAAGTATAGACATTTTCTAATGAGAATCAGGAGGAAGAAAATCTTGACTGAACACAAACTGGTTTGAGCTCCCACTTTCGAAGAATTCATTAGCTCTATTATATAAGTGATAGTGGTTGTTACCTTCAGGAAAAAAGAGAAGTTTCTCATATTGTAACTTGGAACAGGAGGAGAAAAAATATTCAACTTTAATTTGATTACAATCAGTTGCATCATGAAATACAAGGGAAAATATTCTGTCATATTTCACAGCTTGGCTAGCTTACATGGTTAAGTAATGTGAGGAATGAGCTTATCATTCCCTGCCCTGCATGAGGGATGAGGTTTTATATGAATTCTTTTCTAATAATAAAATAAAAGCTAAAAATGACAGGAGAGATATTCTTGATCTGGCAACTGAGTCCCCTCCAAAATTACAATTTTTATTAAGGCCATCACAATTATCAAATTATGCTTTGGTGTAACACTCTTGGAGGCAACCATGGAGCAAAGAGAAAGGGGAAAGGCAGAGAGGACGGGGTTCTAGGGTCTCCTTCTCTATGTCCCTACTTTTTCTTAGCAGGCTTTTGTTTTAAAAACTGGGCTTTTACGTAAAAGTTTGAATAAAGGGTCGTTTGGCTAAGAAAGGTTAACTTTCGAAAGTCTGTCAGATTACACAAGTAACTCAAATTCTTTTCATGGTTTATAAAGCAGACAGTTTCTTCAGATTTCCCATATACAGCATAAACTTAATGACTACTGGTTTTAAAAACTGGATCAAAGTGCATTTTTCCCCCCTTTAAAACACTGAAGAATAAGAAAGAATTCTCTTACGGGGGATTATCCTAGTTTGACATCCTTTAATAAAAAACAAATTTTAGAGGCACCTGGGTGGTTCAGTCAATTAAGCATCCGACTCCTGATTTTGGCTCAAGTCATGATCTCAGGGTCCTGGGATTGAGCCCCATGTCAGGCTCCATGCTCATTGGGGAATCTGCTCAAGGATTCTCCCCCTCTCCTATTGCCCCTCCTTCTGCGCACGCTCTCTCAAATAAAATAAATCTTTAAAAAACCCACCAAATTTTTAGACCATTAACATCAGCCACTTCAAACCAGTTATTGACCCAAATGACAGTATGACAAAGTTGAAAAATTAAGAAAAAAATTATTACATCACACATAAACACACCCATATCCAGAAACACTTTTAGCATATACCATTCAGCATTGTGATGAGAAGTTGAAACCATCTGTGGAAAGTCAATCATGGTGATGTGGTCATCTTTATCCAAAATGAGATTAAATTCATTAAAATCTCCATGAATCAGTCCATGATTTGCAAGTTTGACAATTAGTTCCATAGCTTCATCATACACTGATGCAGGATCTTCAACATGGTGTATCTGACATCTGAAAATATGAAAATAGGTTATTTGTATTCATTTGTAATTTTCATGAAAGCAAACATGTGTGTGTATTATTATTTCCATTCCTTAATTCCCTAACAACTTTCTCATTTCTATCAGCATACAGACATGATATAACAGCTCCCACCTATTTAAAAAAAAAAAAAAAGCCATGACCTGCCTCAATTCTGTATCCTCTTTCTACTATAGACTTTCTGTGATAATTACAGCTAAACTCCTCTACATGCACTTTCTTCATTTTTTCTCTCCCATTCTAATGAACCCATTTCAAACATTTTCATCCACCTTGTTCCAAAGAAATAGGTCTGGTCAAAGCTACCAATGACTTCCATGTTGTTAAATCCAGTAGTCATTATTTGTTCTGTCAGTTAACCTCTTCACCCTTGTTGAAACATTCCTTCACTTTACTCTTGGTACACCAACTCTTAAGGCTGTCCTCTTTCCATATTTATCATTCCTTCTTAGTCTTTTTTTACTAGTTCTTCATCTTTCCTTGACTTTTAGATTTTGGAGCTCCTCAAAGGTTATTGCTAGGAGCCTTTATTTACAGTTATTCTTGGTGATCTCATTCAGGCTCATGGCTTTAAACACTATATATACACTGACCTCAATTTAGACTTCTCTGAACTCTAAGGCATCTCAAACTTAACCGTGTCCCACACTGAACCTCTGATTCTATTTCACCCTCTAACTCCAAGCTGCTCTTTCTATAGTCTTTCCCATTTCTGTAGAAACACCTTTGTACCTCCACTTAATTTGTTATTCAGGCCCAAAACCTTGGTGTTATCCTTGACATTCCTCTTACTTCATATCAATATCCAATCCCAAACAAATCATGTTGGCTCTACCTAAAAAATATATCCAGAATCTGACCACTTTTTATCACCTTCAAATCTACAACTCTGATCTAAACAACCATCATCTCTTGTCTGGATTATTACAATAATCGCCTAATTTGTCTTCCTAATTCTGTCCTTGTCTCCTTTCAGTCTATTCTCAAAACAAAAGCCACAGTAATCCTATTAAAACAGTCACATCACATCTCTTCTCCAAAATCCTCCATAGCTTCCTATCCCAATCAAAATAAAAAAGCCCTTGTGCTAACTATTGCTACATTGGCAATGACACTGCAATACATAAATGTATGAAATCAACATGTTGCACACTTTAAATTTATATATCAAATGTATTAAAAAAATTAAAAATTCCTTGCAATGACCTATAAAGCCTAAATGATCTAGTTCCCTGCTGCCTCTCTGATCTTATTTGCCCTCACTCACTCAACTCCAAGTACACCAGCGTCCTCATTGGTCCCTGAACATTTAGGCATGCTCCCATCTCTGGACTTATGTACTTGCTGCTCCCTCTGTCTGGATCTCTTAGATAGCTGCGTGGTTTTCTCTCTCATTTCTTTTAGGACTGTGTTCAAAAAACACCTTATCAGTGAGACTCTTCCCGACCATTTATGTAAAAACAACAGCTTCTTCCACCTACCTCAGTACTTCCTCTCCCCCTTACCTGTTTTATTTTTATCCACTGCATTTTCTACCATCTGATAATCATACATTTCTTTCTTTAGCTATTTATTGCATGTCTCCTTCCAACAGAATGTAAGCTCTATGAAGGGAGAGATTTTGTTTTGTTCACTGCTGAGCTTTGGTATATACTAGAACAGTGCTTGGTATATACTAGATTGTTAATAAATCACAGAGATTACAAAATCCATACTGTCAGAATGAAACTGAATTTTTAGTTTGCATGAGACTACAGCCTTCTATTAATTTATCTCCTTGAAGCAATATTCTATTTAATCAAAAAATTTTTTTTGAAAACTAAATCTCACATTTATTTATTAGGATCCATAGTTTCAAGAATAACAAATACTTACAGAGGATAGCCATTTATGAGTTCCATGACCACTGCATGGCGATTATAATCAAATGGTTTTGGTACTGGGAATTTCCTCTCATACAATGCCTAAAACATAGCAAAACAGGTATAAACTAATAAAGAGGTCATTAATTTTTAGGGAAAAATAAAGCAAATGTACCTGCCCACAACCAGAAGAAAAAACATACAAGCCTTTACAAAATTACAGTTAACACATGCTTATTTATGTATGGCTATTCACAGCACAAAATAAGCTATGCATAAAACAAAATTTTAAACCAGTTTACTTAATTCACCTTTTCACCAAGCCTTAATTTACTGAACATTTACTAAATATTATACATGGTGCTAGGGTTACAGAAATGAATGCTAAAAAGTCTGTACCCAAGAAGCCTATAGTCTCTTGGATATATCTTCTTCTTATTTTGTTAAGTTTCTGCCATTAATTGGGAGTGTGCTTAAAAATTCACATGGAGGGCGCCTGGGTGGCTCAGTCGGTTAAGCATCTGCCTTTGGCTCAGTTTGTGATCTCAGGTTCCTGGGATGGAGTCCCACGTCAGGCTCTCGGCTCGGCAGGAAGTCTGCTTCTCCCTTTCACTCTCCCTTTGTGCTCTCTTTCTCTCAAATAAATAAATAAAATCTTTAAAAAAAATTCACATGGAAATAAGTTGTGATTTGGGAAATACTCTTGTCTTCTGGCAGATTAGGAAATAAAATACCCAGTAGATCAGGCATTTTAGTTTATAGAGCACTGACCACAATATAAAATATAAATAAATTGATTATGTGACAAATATATATACAGTAGTGGTCTGAGTCAGATGTTACTTCAGATCAACCATAAATCCATTCTTTCCCCATATGCTTTACTTTTCCTATCCTATTGCTTACAAAGTCCAAATCTCTTAGATTTATGCCCTCTACAATTTAGAATGCTACCATTTCAAAGTAGGCCTTTGTTATTTATACCTGTTTGCTCCAACAGTGGTTCTAGCTCTTGCCACCATATCTAACCTTTATTCTGTGTACCAATACCAAACTAAAATACTTACGTCAATGCTCCATTTTAAAAAAAAGCTACAATGTTTCTAAGTATTGATCTCAGTCTGGAAAACTTTTCCTAGTTTTTAAAACTCTCTTTAATCTACTTATCCAGTCCTAATTTTCCCAATACTCTTTTTAATAAGCACTCTGGAGTACACACAGGGCTTACATTCATATTCATGTCTTTGCCCACAGTGGCTCCTCTGCAAAGTACAGTACACTGTCTGACTATCTTCTCCTTAGAGACAAATTACATGCATGCTTCATGACTCTACTCAACTCCTACTCATTTTATGAAACCTCCTTCATCAACTATTCTAGTCTACAGAAGTTTCCCTAAATGTAACAAATAATTTAATTTTTAAACTATTCTTTGTATATATTTGTGTTGTATTCCCAACTTTAAGACATTGACTGCATTACTTATTCCTTTGGTATCCACACCTTCACCCCACTGTATGCCAGGTACTTAATACAGTGGTAGGCATACAAATAATATTCAGCATATATCTATTAACAGGGTCAGTTTTATAAAGCTGTTTACTTCCTACCTTCTTTGTTAGAGGAACTGAATTACTTCCCATTCCCCAAAGGTTTTTGTTTGTTTGGCTTTAAAGATTTTTTTTTTTCAGTGCAAGTACTTTTGAACATGCCTTGGCAGCTCAACAGCATATAATAACCTTAACTATTGTCATAGTGGTCTAGCCCTTGCACTATGGCTTAATTCTTAAGCTATTGCCTAATCTTATTTTACTCTCTAGGAAAAAAGAGAAAAATTTAAGGAGCATATTTATGCACAACCAGGTTCTATCCTAGTACCGTCATATAAACATTTGAGAAAATACCTAATGCAGTTTTGGGAAAATGTGTAACAATCCCTACCAAACCGCCTACTTACTGATTATCTATCATAGGTTACAAATCGTTAGTATAAGACAAGAAACATCATGTTATGGTATCAACATCACTTACATTGTTTGAGAATTCTTCCCCCATCATTACTAAAAATTTAAGCACATGAATTAAAATAACCTACTCAAAAAACACCAAACTGAAACTCCTAAGAGTTTCATATACTGGCCATATACTAGAGTGACTTCTTTTTTTTTAAATGTATGTATGTATTTTTAGTAATCTCTATACCTAACGTGGGAGTCAAACTCACAACCCCCAGATCAAGAGTTGCATGCTCTTTCAACTGAGCCAGCCCGGTGCCCCTAGTGTGACTTTTAATAAATCAAAATTTTAAAAAGTGACGGTAAGTAGTAACAAACACTATTATTATTGGAGAATAGTAATAATACAATACTATTTTCTGTTTAATTAAATGTTATTGAAAATATTTAATTTGGTTATTAAAGATATTTAACAAATCTTGGGGCATCTGGGTGGCTCAGCCAGTTAAGCATCTGACTTCAGCTAAGGTCATGATCCCAGGGTCCTGGGATTGGGCCCCATGTCAGGCTCTCTGCTTGGCGGGAGCCTGCCTCTCCCTCTCCGTCTGCCACTCCCCCTGCTTGTGCTCTCTCACTCTCCCAAATAAATAAAATCTTAAAAAAAAAAAAAAAAGATACTTAACCAATCTACCCTGAACTTAATTTTGAAGTTGAAAGGTTAAAGGCTAAAGATTTTTACCATTCCTAATTTGCATGCTGTAAATCAACATTTCTTCTCCATTACATGAAGGAAAAATACTAGTCAACTTATCTGAGACACTAAGGTTTCTACAGATAACTACTATAGGTAACTCCCTGGGGTTTTCAATTAGAGACAAACATATGCGTATTTATGTATACCGAATAGATAACACACTCACACATTTGTGAGGCAATTACATCATTATTTAAGGCTACTTGTTAATACTGCAGAATATTACCTCATATTATAAAATAGTATCTTATTAACACTGTAGAACACATGTTGCCTTAATTTGCATTAGTAACAATGAAAAATGCCTTCACATAGAAAAAAAGTCACCAGAAAAGCAAATAACAGAAACAATCATTAGTTAAAAGTAAGTGAAAGAATTAGGACTGGGGTAGAGAGATGTGGGGGCAAAAGACTGATAACTGTCACTATATCTTTTCAACTACATGTACTATTTTGTTAAGAAATACAAAATTATTTACCAAATACCTTCATATAGGCAAATTCTTTCATGGCAGAGAGACGAGATAAATAAAGCCAAGACATGTTATGCCTGTGTTTATGATAATCACGTTTGTTTTTCAGATTTCGAAAGGAGGTTCTTCCCAATCTGTGAAGCTTTAATGCAAATTGCTGCCCTTCTTCATTTGCAACAATGTAAATATCTAGAGCCAAGATTTAGAAAAGATCATTATTATACCATCATTCCAAAAAGTTCAATTGTAATTTCTGAATTTTGATTTTATTTGTATCAAATTTTCTTTACTAATAACCAGGAATATTTATTACTCAGCAAAATTCTTTATTTTAAATACAATCTAAAATAAGATAACATGTATTAATATCTACTACAAAAGAAAACAGGGATGTAGCGTGTCAAAGGTTATTGCTCCCAAAGGTGCTCAATACTCAGTTCAATTTAGTGGCAAATTGTCTTACATGTCCTACATGTATGAGAAGTGATTTAATATCTTCTTTTTCAACAATATGAAGTTCAATTCTTCAACTGCTTCAATAAATAATATTCAGCTGTTAGGGGCTATAGGGGTGCCTAGGTGGCTCAGTCGATGAGGTGTCTGCCTTTGGCTCGGGTCGTGATCCCTAGGGTCCTGGGACTGATCCCTGCATTGGGCTCCCTGCTCAGTGGAGCCTGCTTCTCCCTCTCCCTCTGCTGCTCCCCCTGCTTGTGCTCTCTGTTAAATAAATAAATAAAATCTTTAAAAAAAAAGAATATAATCCTATAGTAAACAGAATGGAGATTTTCCCCTAAGTATTCCAATGATCAAAAAAAGTTGCTATTTGAAATACTGACATTTAAAACATGTCCTAATTATTCATGAGAAATTTTAATTATTACACATCAAGAAACTCACATTGGTGGAATTACAAATTAGTGTAAACTTTTGAAAGGAAATTTAGTACTACCAAATTTTAAATGTACATAACTTTTGCACTAATAATTCCTAAGACTGTATTTACGAATTTATTTGCACATTTGCACAGAGATATGTGCACAAGGATGTCTACCATGTCATTACTTACAAAAGAAAAGATGAAGTAACATAAATGCCCCTAACAACTGGGACTGATAAATCAATTACTGAGCACTAATACTATGTAAAACTCTGCAACTATGAAAAAGACCTATCTGTTAACATGAAATGATATCAGAAATGCATCAAGACGCACCTGGCTGGCACCTAGCGCATGGGACTCTTGATCATGGGGTTGTAAGTTGGAGCCCCAGGTTGGGTGTAGAGATTACTTAAAAATAAAATCTTAAAAAAAAAAAAAAAGCATCAGGTGGAAAAAATCAAGGTGTAAAATAGTTAAGTAATGTTTACTTTCACCTGTGATTAAAAAGATATGTGAATGCATATACATACATTTTTGATACATTATATACTAGTATTAACATAAAATATTTCTAGAAGAATATATAAGATACCAATCAACAGTAACAATTTTGGGAAGTAATAACAGCAGATTGAGACCTGGGTTAGAAGTAAGATTTACTTTTTATTGTACTTTCTTTTGTACTATTTATCAATTCCATGCAGTGAAGTTCTTAAAAAAAAAGCCATTATTTTTTTAAGTAAAAAAAATCAGACATAAAAAAGTTAAGAGGCACATATCTAAAAAAAAAGGTGTTTCATTACCTCATTTTATACATTTCTCACACACACACACACACACACACACACACAGTGCTATATTTAGCACTCCCGCAATACTTATTTGCTCAATGCTATTTTAGAAAGCTTCTTTCTGTGTTCTACACATACCTAACTTTGTCCTATTTCTATGATGGAAAAATGTGTTTGTGGCTTTTCGATATTCACTGTCTTCTAATAATCCCTTGTGCATATTTTAACTATTACAAATATCCATTTACCATACATAAAATAAGAGTAAATAAAATATTTGCCAAAGATGTCAGTTATTAGAAGAAAATTAATTCTTGCTATAATTGAATTGTCAGTGAGACTTACAAAAAACAATAACCTACTAAATTAAGGGTAATTTCATCATCTATATTGTTTCCAACCAACTTTTCAATTTACTGCTCAGTTGGAAAAAATGGAAAAATTAAAAGATAATGCTTTCTCAGGGAGAAATATAAATAGAAACTAGAGCAAAGAAAATGAGTTCAGTAGTACTGTTAGCACTTACCAGATTCTTTGCCAACACCCATCTGGTTTCCAACAGACTCAACCACCTGTCTAGAAGAAAGTGTTTTCAAAGCTAGGTAATCATAGCCTGCATTTGTCAGCCGGTAGCCCTGGACAGCTAGACAAAATAAAATGAAAAAGACTGTATTTTACTTACATTGTACAATCAAGTCACATTAGTTCAAGTCATGAGAAGAATCTAAACATAAGAAATCTTAGTTGGAATGATTAGCTTACCCAGTCTTAGGAGTCTGGCATTTCTTCCTATAATTTGTATTTTTTTCTCTAGAGCAGTGTTACTCAAAGTGTGACTCTCAGACTGACACCAGTCTCTAAATATTTGTTACCAGTCTGAAACGAAGTGGTTACCTTAAGAAATTTTTATATCACTTTGACAAATTTATTTTATGTCTTCAATTCTAATAAGGAATTTGTGCCTTATTTTATCAATTTTTAAATTTCATTTTTCTAGCAATTACTTTTTTATTGTTATTTTATAAAAGCATGGATCCATAATAGGTGGAAAAAAAGAAACTCATCCCTCACCACAGACGGTTTGAGAATTAATGCTTTAGAGTAGTGCAGTAGAACATTATTTGCCAAAGATAGTGGCAATAATTATCCCTATCCTACTTGCTCTTCTGCCAACTGGAACTTGTTAATCCCCTCTCAGGAGATGGAGGCTATTTCTCTACTCTCTTTGATCTGGGTGGGCCCTGTGAAAGCTCTAATAGAACATGGTAAATGTATGCAGTTTTCGGGTCTAGAAAGAGTACTTTGCTGGTCTGGCAACTTTCATTTTCCACCTTTCGAAATGCCTGCTCTGGGGGAAGCCAGTTACATGAAAAATCACAAATGGTGCCATAAATACTTACTTTTGGTACGCTCCCAAGCTATGAGTTTATGTTTCACTAATTCTCTTAAAACTTTATTACAGCCACCATGTTTAAGGCTGGCTATAGAAGCAACTAAACTGCAGGGAACTATTTCATGGTTCTTCATGCCCATTTCAACCTGAAATTAAAGGAATCATATGTAATCATAATCAACAGAGCTGTTGTCTATCAAAATCTTGCTAAGAAATTAACTTCTTCAAATTTCTCTGACCATGCAGTTCCCCAGCCAATTCTGAGATGTAAGTACTACCTTCTCTGGACATATTTCTAATCATAATTTGATTATATAATCACAGATACTCATATTCTGCCTCTCTACTAAACTCTAAAGGTAAAAATTGCAAATAATTAACACTTACTGACATGTGGCAAATACTAAGATATTTATTGACATCTAAATATTTATCTTTAAAAACTATAGGTATTTCAGGGGTGCCTTGGTGGCTCAGTCGTTAAGCATCTGCCTTCGGCTCAGGTCATGATCCCAGGGTCCTGGGATCAAGCCCTGTATCGGGCTCCTTGCTGAGCGGGGAGCCTGCTTCTCCCTCTCCCTCTCCCCCTGCTTATGTTCCCTCTCTCGCTATCTGTCAAATAAATAAAATCTTAAAAAAAAAAAAAAAAACTATAGTTATTTCAGATATTCATTAAGAAGGTATTTAATATGAAAGTATCATATGCAGGCATGATGGAAGATTAAAAAATATATAAAAATACTCTACCCCTCAAGAATTTATTATCTAATTGTGGAAATAAGAACCTACACATCTAACTTTATTAGAAGACAAGAAATGGTAAGTGCTAAAAAAGAAGTGCTCAGGGCTGAACAAAAATAATTCTAGCTGAGGGATCAGTTTCAAAGAAGTGGCACCTGAGGTGTACTTTGAGATGAAGGAAAACCGAAAAAAACACACAAGGGAATATCAGAGAAAGCAAAAGATTTGGACATGGCACATACGCAAGAAAATACAGAGCACAGCAACAGCTAGTACAGTGGTAGCTCAGGTGCGATGGCAAATAGAATTCATGAAAAGGTGGATGGAAAACGCTTTTGAGAAAGGTATGGAAGGCCTTGAAATGTAGACCAAGGAGTTTAGATTTCTTGTTGAGGAAAACTGAAAACCCTTGAAGGTGTTTACGCATGGGAGATACATGAACAGAGATGTTTTAAGGACATTAATCACAACTCAAAGTTCTGGAAGGTCTTTCAAATGAAGCTGTTTAAGGTAATTTGGAAAGATGTATCTATACTCAGGAATGAAGTCATAATTAAAGGGTAAAATTGTCAGTTATTTGACAGAGGTAACAGATAAAACCGTGAAGTGGATGTGATCATCAAACAAGAGATAATGGAAGACAAAGGAGGGTTGAGGGACAGAATTTTGGGGGAAGTTCACATTAAAAGGTAAGGGCAGCCAGTCAAAGTATGATTACTGATGTAGGAGGGGCCTGAGAAGTAAAGGAAAGAGAGTCAAGGAAAGGTGGCTGCTGATACCAAGGATGGTTAAGACTCAACAGAGACTGAAATATTATATTTAACAAGTAGGTCATTTGTTGGTGAGCTTCAGAAAAGAACTTAAATATTGCAGAGATGAAGTTCTGGAAGATAAAACTGGCAATGTTTTGATATCCCAACCAAAATCTCACACCTTAACTCATTTCCCTTGTTAGCCTCTAACATTCTTTCTTGACTCCCTTGTTTCTGTTGGGCATTAAGGAATAGATCAATGTGCTGAGGAAGCAGAGAAGGAAGGTATCTTTCAGAAGTGACAGTAGGTGTTTAGACAAAGTGCAGATGAATTAAGTGCCTTCCAAATTTCATACTGAATTTGCATTTGATACTTTAATCTTTAAGTATTGCCTATTTAAGCAAAAGATAATAGCTTCTAAAAAATTTATTGTTTTATTCTGGAAATGCCTAACCTATGTGTTGTTGATCTTTGTGCTGTAAGACTACTACCATTGAAATCAGTTTTTGTCACTTCCCTGCTTAAAACAATGGCGGCGCCTCTATATCTAGAATATATTCCAAATTCTTTACCAAGCCTGCACATGATCTGTCTCACCTTGTCCAATTACATCTCCAACCAGTCAACCAAACTTGCTCACTATGCTCCAGCCACACTGGCCTTTCTTCAAAAACTTTCTAGTTCAGAAGCTTTTTACTTAGTACAGCTGTTTCCTCGGTCTCCAACTCTTTCCAAGAAGTTCACTGGACCACCTCCTTCTCATTCAGCTCCTATTATTTCCCCCTCTTCCCTGCCAGTCTTTCTTTTACTTGGCAAATATTTATTCAGTACCTACCAAACGCCAGGAACATTTTCAAAAGGCCTTAACACTTCGGTTACAACAGTAAACAGACAAGATTCTTTCACTCTGGCAGTCTTCTCTGACTACACAATTTAAAGATGGCATTCATGCTCCCCACCCCAAACGTGCAGTTTCTATTCTATTATCCTCTTTATCATCTTCACAGCACTTATTATCTGATAGTCTTCCTTTATCTACTCGTTTACTCAATGATCTGTCATCCTTGTCTTGTACCCCTCTGAATTCCCTAGAATTGTCACTAAAAACCAGACAAATAAGTGTTGATTGAATGAAACTGAGTAAATGCTATGTGAGGGCATCTGTGAGTGAGGAATTCAGTGCTAACAATTCTCAAGAGTCTTAAACCCTTCTCCGGGGGTCGGAAGCCCAGGGTCAGAGAAGCTTTCCAGGCCACAGAGATGCAAGTATAGCTCTGGAACATAAGTAGGGGAGCAGAAAGGAAGGAAATGATTAGAAGAGGGGACTTTGCTCTGTTTCGGGGGAAGACAAAAGCTTCCGAACAAAGGCTTTTGAAAAATCTGACTGTCGGGTCTTCTCTTCCTCATTCCGAGCCTGGGTCTCTTAAGAGGGCCTACAGTACGCTCAGCTCTCAGCCGAGTCTCCGGAACAGGAAAACGCGCGGTGGGAAAGGACTGGGGGCAGGGAGAAACGGCGAACTTCTTACCGCGGTCAGGACCCTGAAGTCATCTCGGCTCATGTAACGTAACTTGGCCACATTCACTTTCCCCATGGCGGCTCAGGATCAAGCCAGGATACTCCTTCACAACAGCTGAAGAGCACAAGGTAAACCTGTACACTAACCTCTCCGGCGCCTCACAGCCGTCGGGTGGCTTGCGCGTGCGCTGCTCCTCACTGCAGGTCCTTGTTGGTAAATAGAAGAACTATTCTGTCCGGCGTGGGAAAAGGAAACGTCTTCTGGGTTTTATGATGCGCGTAGCATGGAACAACGCAGAATTTTTTTTTGTAAGGGGATTTTTGTCATGTAAGTTAACGGACTTTGAGTGTCTACAATATGTCATTTTGTTTTTCATATCTGTCAGGACTGGCTGCCCAAAGGACGTGAGCTGCCTGTGAGAGCAGAATGGTAACAGAACCCGAGGAGCAAATTTCATCCCCAACCAGCAACTCCTACTTTAGGCAAAGTGAGTTCCAACAAGAGAAGGGGGTGAGATGAACCCAAGAGCGTCCAGACACACAAAGCAGTTAAAAATAAAAACAATAGTAAACAGCGCCTGCTTAGAAAAAAGGAAGGCGTGGCTAAAGAGCGCTCTCTTGCGCTTGCTCAGTATTGGCTTTGGGTTGGTTCGCGAGACTCGGGAGTGCGCCTGCGCCTGCGCCTGCGACTGGTGGGGGTGGGCTTTAGGCTGTGTGGAAGGCGTACTGTCATGATTGCATCTCCCGCTCGTTTCCAGAGAAAGTGGGCGATTTTTGACGAGTTGGAACGAAGCTATGGGCATTGTTTGTCAAAGGCCAAGACGTAATTTCAGGGCTTTAGGAGAGCTACCCACACTGAACCTGGAACTCCTCTCTACGTCAACAAAAATGGTAACGAGCAAGACCTTAAACAACTTGCTCCTCAGAGGGTGGCTACTCTACCTTCCCTACAAAAGCAACAGGGGTAACAAAACTTGTGTGATAATGTTTGTGTTTCTCTCTTGTTTCATGAACTACGTTTTAAACCTTTAAAAGACAATTACCTATTTTGGTACACCCTCACACCTTAGGTGTGGATACTACATATGGTCACGGACTTCAGCTTTGACTTCATTTCCAGCCACTGCTCTCTAGCCTGTCTCTGGGTTGAGTCTCAAAACTTTGAAGTGTAAACTTTGGAGTTCATTATTTACAGAGTCCATTTTTTTCCTACTGGGGTTCTACTGGCCGATGTGCCCATTTTCCAACTCTCCAGGGCCCTACTGAGTATGTTGCTTTGTCCAAACACAGAGTTAGTTTTTTCATAAAACCTGGCTGCAGTTCCAAGGCAAGCAATTAGATATGCCCTTTCTTTCCAAGTCAGAATAGTTAATACTCTGAAACCATAGACTACAGGTAGCAGAACAATCTTCTGTCCCTTCTACACTACAACCTTTGGCTTCATTTTTTACACTTGAATGCAGTAAGCCTTTGATTAACCATGCTCAACTCTTGGAAACCTCTACTGAAATGGACTTTTTCTTTCTATACTTCACATAAGAAATAAAAATGAAAAGCTTTTATGGAGCAAGAATGAGATGGGAAACAAGTCATTTGGCTGTTTCCTAATCCAACATTCTAGCAGACATTGCTAATCTGTTAAAGCACAAACCTTATGTTACTTCTAAGCTCTGCTCCAGACAACCACTACTAATTGATTGGATTTGGCTACAGTTGTTGTCCTGTTTCTGGAGCATTCCAGAATCCAGAATCACACTGAGCCCAAATCTCTTCTACTTTTAATAGTTATATATTTTTTTAATACAATCATCTTAATCAGACCTTTGAAGAGTAAAAGTGATTCAGTTATTGTTCAATATTCTGATTTACTTTTCCTACCATGCTTAGTAATGACAAAAAATACACAGTATTTTTTATTCACTCATTTACTATTTATCAAACATATATGCCAGATTTTTTGCTTGGTCCTGGGGGAAGAATCCTAACCTTTAAGTCTTGAGGTGGAAGGAGATGAATAGAAAATAAGAGAATAATATGACAGAGGTGTGCAAAGGATTTAGCACATCATTATTACCTACTCCCAGACCCCCATCTCACACACACACACACACACACACACACACACACACACAGTTTGTCCTCACAAGTTGCAGAGGATCTTGACTGTCTATAGATGAAAGTTCAAACTTTTCTTAGGTTAAATTAAACTTCTTAGGCTGGCATTCAGGATCTTCAATAATCTGTATCATTGCTTACTTTCAAGTAACATATGCTCTTGCTTAATTGAACTACAATTCAATCAAATACAGTTCCCTTGATTTCCTGTATTACTGCCATTTCCCTTCATCTGTAATGCTTACCTTCCCACCTCCTTTTTTCCCCTTCTTTCTAGTCACCACATATGTTAAGTCTTACCTACCATTCATAAAACACTATGCATCCCATAAAACTTTTCTTTATTATCCCTATGTTATTTTCCTAGGGTTGCTGTAACAAATATCCACGAACTTGGTGGTTTAAAACCATAGAAATTTAGTCTTTTACAGTTATGGACCATGCTCCCTCCAGAGGCTCTAAGGGACAATCTGTTTCTTTCCTCTTTCAGCTTCTGTCAGCCTTTGGTGACTACTGGCATTTCTTGGCTTGTGGTTGTATCCTGCCTCTGTAGTCACATTGCCTTCTCCATTTTGTGTGTGTCTCCCTCTGTTTCTCTCTTATAAAAATACATGTTATTGCATTTAGTAGCACAAGAATTGGACTGTAGTGGACACTGTGATGTACTACCAGCTGTCCCCCTCCAGGAATGAAGGACTTACTCCCCCCAGCTCCTGGAAGTGCTGCCAGCAGAAAATGCTCAGTCGTCAGCCTCCACTTGGATTGCCTAGGTTGAAGGAGCTACCTCACTGAAGGTCATACTTCCTTTCCGGGTTTGCCTGGATCCAGTGACTGATTAACATAGACGTCAAAGGCTCAGATTCTTTGCACCAGCTCAGCATAACTCAACATAACTCCAAAGGGTCATGCAATCTTTAGAACTCCTTGTAGAGTCAACTGCAGCCTCCCTTGGTACTACATCATAGTTCAACCTCTTCCTTTGCTTACTCCTGCTCTTTCCCCGTTCTCTTCCAGGGGTTGATCATAAGAGCACTTCTTATTAATACCGTAATACAGTACAGGTCTATTCCTGAGGAACTTAACCTTTACCATCGTTCTTCTGGGCCCTCAGCTTAGTGTTAATAGGACACTGCTATAAAAATGGGATAGGCAGGATAAGACCCCCAACTGAGGCTTAATTCTGCCACTAACTAGCTTTTTGAGCTTGGCTACACTCTAAATTCTCTTATTCATACAAGTTTTTATTTTGAATGTTTATTATACGACATATTTTGGTAAACAAAACTCAGTTCCTTTCCTCAAGGAGCTTAAAGGTCTAATGATTCTTAGGTTGTTTATATTATGAAAGGATTGAACTTGAATTGTATTTCTAAACTTTTTGTTAATTTAAGTCCCCATCTCAAGCTCCATAGTCTCCATTCCATTCAGGTTGAGAATCACTCTAGGAACCAAGAATATTTGGTTAAGATTTATTTTATGAAAATAAGATTCTTTCATTTTGCAAACAGAAAATTATATAATGTGATAATAGATATGCCTTTTCAAACTGTACCTCTCAAGCCTTAGTGATTTTGATAGCACCCGAGGAACTACTGGACAGTCTCTTTGAGTTCAGTCAGGACAGAAACCATATTAGTTATTTAAACATAGAAGTTAATATTAAGAATCATGAATTTGGCATAAAGCTAAATAGAAAACTGAAAATGGGAAAGGAGAATACTAAGGTACTACAACTGCCACTACTAAGGCTCGAGCAACTAAAATAAAATTGAAGTGACTTAGAAGCTTAGGGAAGAGGTCCCATGGACCTGAGACCCAGACTTCTGAGGAGGGGTACTGCCAGGTTGGTGATAATAGTTCTGGAGCAGGAAGACTTCATAAGACTGGTTTGGCAAGTTTGGAACAACTGCAAACTAGATTCAGATGTTGCTATGGAAAGATGCTGCTGGGCTGAGTAAGTATTAGGACAATGTTAACAAAAATGGCATACCTAGGAAGCGTGGAGGAAGCAAACAGGAAGCAGAGGAACAAATTAATTCTTCTTCCCTTAGGATTACTTTTCAGCAGAGTCCAATGTGGAGCCACCTGGCAACGCAGAAATGTGGTTTACAAGGTTCCAACCTTAGCATCAGAAAGTGGGGTTAGAAGTCTTGGTTTTGGGGGCGCCTGGGTGGCTCAGTCGTTAAGCATCTGCCTTCGGCTCAGGTCATGATCCCGGGGTCCTGGTATGGAGCCCCACATCAGGCTCCCTGCTCTGTGGGAAGCCTGCTTCTCCTTCCCCCACTCCCCCTGCTTGTGTTTCCTCTCTCGCTGTGTCTCTCTCTGTCAAATAAATAAATAAAATCTTAAAAAAAATAGAAGTCTGGGTTTTGGAGCTTAGAGACAATAGCTTGATAACTGGCACAATCTCTAAAAGATTTTTGAGATTTAATATTCTACTTGTGTGCTTGTAGACCTGCAAAGACCTGTAGACCTGTAATTATCAAGTAAGAATCTTTATGGTTTGTCTTTTTTTTTTTTTGGTGTGTTTTCTTTTTATGTACCTTGATTCAGAGAATAAATAACTTGTTTCAGATTTTTGGTCTTCTACTTTATTGCTTTACTTGAATTGATGGATGTACCAATTTTAGTCCTGTTGTTGTGTTGTTGTGATTTTGTTGTTTATAAGAGTTAAAAATAATCCCATTATTCTGTTAGATATTTTTAATAAATAAGGGCTCCTGGGTTCCCTAAAATAGTGTAATTGTTTTGATTACAAGTTAGAGCACTTGGCCTATTATTCCAAGTTACTCTTCCAAATTTTAAGTGTTTCCACACACTAAATTTTATTTAGTTTTATGATTTTTTTCTTTGTGTAGTGAATCTGGGTTTTAAAAACATTTTTCACACTATGGAGCATTTAACTGGTCTTCTGTTAGAATAGCTTTTTTAAGGCTAAGCTACTGCTTGAATTCCAAACTTGGTTAAACATTCTTATTATTCCCGTTTTAACATGGTTTAATATACTACTCTTTAATGTGAAAACATTATTTCTCACAAGGAGTTCTCATGAAAGTAGACTTTATATAAAATGTGGTATTAAACTTAT